GGTCCAGCCACAGACTGCCGTGGGCCCCCGTGCACCGGCAGCCACGTGCCCACGGCACAAGTTCTTGCCCAGCCCAGTGGCCACGTGTAACAGTTTGTCTTAGGCGGTGACATGTCCCTGACACTTGGACTCATCGAAGTGGCAGCACCAGTGTCCCGCTCCACAGAACTTACAGGGACATCCTCATAATCTGCCCTGGGAACTAGAGGCCCAGGCCGCAAGCACGCCTGACGCTGGCTCATAAGAAATCGGTCTCTAAATCAGGGCCTTGGCGTGTAGCCGGAGACACAGGTCGTGCGCATAGACCCTGAAGTCTGACCCAGCACACGGAGGGCAGACGGGAGGGCCCTGGGACGGCGCCGGGGGGTGCGACATGACATGGCGCGGCACTGCTCCATGCTCACACGCTCCCCCGAGAACAGACACGTGCAGTACGTGCCCTCACCCAGAGGGGCAGGCTGGTTCCAGAGCGTGCAGTAGAATGGGGACGGTGGGGCTCCTGGCTGGACGAGGGTTCTGTGCCCGACAACGTGCTCGCAGGCAAGCAGGGCACAGTCCCCTGCTCCCGGACCCTGTGCTGGGCAGAGCCAGCACACCGTGCTGTGGCAGGCATGGCAGGGCCTGCCCAGGACATGGGTTCAGAGGAGTAGAGGGGACCAAGAAGGGCTGGCTGCGTCACGTCCCGCAAGAAACATCTGCTCAGGAAAGCCAGCAGGGGGCAGGCAGCACCCGCACCGGGAGCAGTGCAGCTCTGAGTCACCCAGGCTCACCGCTCGGGCCCTGGGAAGGGCAGAGGGAGGTGGGAAGTCCCCTTGGGTGGACGGCAGAGCCTTGGCACCTCTAGCTCTGGGCCCAGAAAGCTGCCAGGGAGTGCGAGTCCACGCGACCTGACCTTGGGGCACTCGTGGCCAGCAGATCTGGGTCGAGAGGTTCTCTGGCTCTGAAGCTTCCCCCGCAGAGCCTCCAGACACCAACTAGGAAGAACCGAGCAGTGGCAGCACCCTCGGGCTCCTGTGGGAACTGAATGAGGCACAGCAGACCCCCCCAGGGCACGGCAGACCCCTCA